CCTACATATGCTGGCTATTTGTTTGAGTTGCTCTTTGGTGATTTCCCCCATTTTCCATTCCTTGTACATGTTCCTTTTAAATCTTAGCTCAGTTGAAAGGTCTTTAGGCATCCATTATGGTTTCTTTAGACACTTCCCATTTTCTTCATCATTGAAGCTGTCTGAAATTGTGCCTTCCATATTTCACTTTTAAGAAACTCCCATCCATTATGAATTCCCTTCTCTATTAGTATTCCTGACCATGAGATCACACCCAGTATTTTTCAAAGTTTACTGAAATCAGCTTTTTAAAAGTCTGGAATGTGTATCTGACTGCTTGACTTCTCCTTTCCGCTGTATGACAAACTCCAGGACAACATGGTCACTCCTACCTAAGGATCCTTCTATCAATTCCCTCATTCTGTCCCATTAACCAGGCATCACTGTTGGTTAGGATCAGATCTAAAATAATGGAACTTCTTGTTTCCTTTTCCACCTTCTGGACAATGAAATTGTCAGCAAGGCAAATGAGGTATTCGTTGGACCTTATTGTCTTGGCAGAGTTTGATTTCCAACAAACATCAGGATAATTGAAATCTCCCATTACTATTACATCTCTCCTTTCTGCATGTGTGGTCATCTGTTCCAGGAAGGGATCATCCAAATCCTCAGTCTGGCTTTGAGATCTGTAATAGATTCCCCACAATCACATCATTGTTATTTCTCTCCCCCTTAATTTTTAGCCAGAAGCTCTCAACCTGTGATCCAGGATTTAAGACATGGATCTCTTCACAAGTGTAAATATTTTTGTTGTTGTTGTTGTTATGTGCCTTCAAGTCATTTCATACTTATGGAGACCCTAAGGTGACCCCATCATTGGGTTTTCTTGGCAAGATTTGTTCAGAGGAGGCTTGCCATTACCAACCCCTGAGGTTCAGAGCATGTGACATGCCCAAGGTCAACTAGTAGGTTTCATGACTGAGCCGAGAATTAAACTCTGGTTTCTAGAGTCATAGTCTAACACTCAAACCACTACGCCATGCTGGCTTTCTGATACCCTCCTCCTTTGCTGTTTGGTCTATTTCTCTAAAATAGGTTATAGTCTCAATTAAAGGTTATCACCCTTCTCTGAAATGCTTGGGGCAGAGATGTTTTTGATTTTAAATTTTTTTGGATATTGGAATATTGTATTCACATATACATACATAATCTTGGAGATGGGACCCGAGTCCAAACACAGATTTCATTTATGTTTTATATACAACTTATACACATAGCCTGAAGATAATTCTATTCAATATTTTATATAATTTTGTACATGAAACAAAGTTTGTGTATGCTGAACCATTAGAAAGCAAAGTGTCATTATCTCAGTCACCAGTGGAAAAAAATGTTGGCTTTTGGAATATCTCAGATTTTGGAATTCTGGATAAGGAAGACTCAACCTGCACTTTATATAAATCATCTCTAGATTATTTTTCATATCTAATACAATATAAATGCTATGTAATTGTTATATGTACTGTACAGTTTAGGAAACAAATGAGACATGAGGCTGGAAAGAGACTGAGGATCTGTAAAATAGTGAAAGGCATACCGTTGAATTGAGCAGTATGCTTGGATACCCGCCATTTCACAGATCCTCAGCCTTAATCCAGCCTTGCATTTTGTTTGTTCACTACTTTTGAATCTGCAGTTCATTGAATCCATGTATCTGAAGCCCATGGATATAGAGGCCTGACTGTATTCAGTCCACGTAAAGTATTCAGGCAAGATGTTGGTATGGATTACATGTGTGAGGCTGCTGACAGACTGAAGCCACATAGTTGAAATGCTTTAGTTTTATGATGTTTCAAGCCAATAATCCAGAAACAGCAGCCTCATACATTATAAATGATCTCTGAGATCAGTATGAATATCTTGGACTACTGTCCATTCAAGCAGATTAGTTGGTGGCAGATAGGTAGCAGGGTGCATGGTGCCCTAGCCCCCACCTCTCTCTATGGCCCAACACCCTTCAAGGCAATTGAAAGATCTTACTGATGTCTTTTCAGGAAACACTCTCGACACTCCTATGAAGGTCTCAGATCTGTTTGGATTCCACCAGGGATCACTGCCAGGACGTGAAGAAATGGTCCACTCTACATGCAGTGGTTTCTCCTCTGGGTCATGCCTGCTTGAGAGTTTGGCTCAGCCAGGTGCTTGCCTGGGTTTAGACATCATCCTCACTTTTTTCTCTCCACCTATCCATCCTAGGAAAGCTTGTTGTCCTCGATGGTTGATTCGAGTCTCTCCCCTTTTAAATCACAGCAACATTTCTCTCACTCTCTTTGCTCCCCTGCATTCCCAGTTTAGCTGATTGATTTACCTAGAGTATTAGTTAATACAATTATAGGGATAGAGGAATGGAGGTGGAAGCTGGATGCATGCAAAAATACTATGATTGTTCTCTGAACAAAGTAGAGATCATTTACAATTAAACAGAGTAACCTCCCCTCTTTTATTTCTTGGTTAATGCCTTCTGCACTGTCCTATGCCTTGCCATGGAGAGAGCATCCAAAATATGTTGTTGAGTAGCACCCTCCTCAACTACACAACAGTAAGAAAGTTCATGATGGCAGCAGTGGCAAGGGGGGCTGGTTCCTGGTGGGTAGTCACCACCATGTGACCCCAAGGGTCCCCTCCTGAGGTGTCATGGCCAATGGCTCAGATTTTGCTTCTTACAGCCAAGGTCTGCCACTGTCTTTGCCACCACCACCCCTTCATGGCTCACCATCCACCCACAGCCATCAGTGCCCATACCATATATGCCCCAGCTCCACATAGGCAGGCCAGGGTCAGGAAAGAGCGATTGCAGGTATGTGCACTCTTGGGTCAAGCCCTTTTCTCCTTTCCCAGCAGCTGGGCTGAAGGCAGCGGCATCATCACCAATGCCAACCTCTCAGTCCCCACCGTGGTAGTCACCCTAGTTCCCACTGGAAGCCCTCAAAATCCTTGCACTCCACTAGAGCAACTCTTGCACATGCATCATGCCCCACCATCTGAGAACCACTGAGCTAGTTAATCCAATCATGCCACAGGAACATAGACCAAGCTAGTTTCTTCCACGAGTAAATTCTGGAGCTATAATTTATAAAATTATTGTGCATTGTTTACAAAATCAATTTATATAAATTTTCCAAGTAGAGAAATCTACTGTCAAAAAATCAGTTGAAAAGATAACAGAATGTCTGACACACGTGCTTCTTCTTTTGAGTACAGCAATATTGGTGAATGGCACATTCTGAAACCTGGATCTATCTCTCCCTTGTTCAGAAGAACATATCCCCAGCTGTAGAATGAGAATTGCTTCCTTGCCCTTTACTATGGATGACGATAGTGAGACATTTGCACACCAGTTTCTTTGTGTAACTACAAGCTGATTATCAGCAAGTAGCCAGTCATTTGAAGAGACTTATCAGACAATTTAGGAAAATACTCTATACCAGTTTTCCAAACTGCCTCATTGCACTTGTTCATATGGCTACTACATTATCCAGACTGTAAATCTGTTATACTTTATCCTAGGAACTTCTCTGCTATTTTTCTGTAGTTGTTAACCATAATTCTAGGCAGAAATTTGTCATGATTGTGTTGATTTGATTATACTACCCTTCAACAGAAAGAAATGCCAGAAGGAGTTGTTATTTGAAAAGTCAAGCATTATATGCTCCTTAAAACAAAAGTTCTGCACATATTGTATGAAAACCTACATATTGTGTAGGTGGCAAAGAAGTCTGAGGCTTTATATTCTGCCCTGGGAAATATTTCCCACTGCATTCATGTGTTTCATATCAGATCAGTAACTTGCAGCTTTCCACCGATAACATCTTTGAAAAAAGATAGAACTATAAAAGTAAAATTTCTCCCAAAGTCTTCCCAGACCCCCAAAGTGAAACCCAGGCTCCTTAAAAATGAAACACTAAGTTTACACTTTTTGGTTAGCCCCTTGATTGTTCCAATATGTAGAGCCAAGTAAAAATTGCATTAATATCTGAGAAAAGCATAGGCAGAACTAATTATGCCTTACAGCTGTCTACAGCTAAAAGCTTTGGATGGTGGTCTTTAGCGAATTTTGTTTTTTAAAAAACAAACATTCTCTTACCATTTGTCTGGTTTGTCCGTGGTTAGGCAGACCTAACAAACAGGAAAGAGAATAGACCTTGTAAGACACCGTTGCTTTTCCAAGACAAAAAAGAATATACAAGATCAAAACAACAAGACTATGGTTTGCAAAAATGGCTCACTTTCCAAAACAGGAATCACTTTGATATTCACTTTCTTTGGTGAGATTATCTGCTTAATTAACCCCCAAAGCATTACCAAAATACATACTTTTACTATCCAGTTATGTTCTGTGGTAGTCAATGAAGCTGGAGAAAAGGAGTGTGTACATTTGTTGCAGCAAAATACATGTTTGTGTGCTTGCTTCTCTGCCTGCACTTGCCTGAAGAGCTGAGGTTGCATGCTATTTGGGGGGAAATGATTGGGGAGCTTCTATTACTGCAAAGGAAGACTGGCTTTGAGATTTTAGTCTTAGGTAGACTTAGGATTTGCTTTTGTAAATGAAAAATATTAAGTTTTTATTAATAGTTTGTCCATGGTAAGAGGAAGAGGAAAAAATAATTTTCTCATTCTATTTGAAATTGCTTTTTGGACATGCTTGATTTAAAAAAATGTCTACTTTCCAACTGTCAGTCGACTAAAGGAAGAACATAAGAACAACTTTGGGGTAAAGCTGGACAATATGTTCAGCTTGGTTTTTTTAACAAAAGAGGTGTCCATATGTAGACAAAGTGGTAAAGATGTTTGTCACGCTTTTCCTTACCTATGTTGTCTGTGTTGTGTGCCTTCAAGTGATTTCCAACTTATGGCGACTCTATCATGGGGTTTTCTTGGCAAGATCTGTTCAGAGAAGGTTTGCCATCGCCTTCCCCTGAGTTTGAGAGTGAGACTTGCCCAAGGCCACCCATTGAGTTTCATGACCGAGCTGGGAATCGAGCCCAGTCTCCACTCCACTCCTAGTCCAGCACTCAAACCACTATGCCACACTGGCTCAATTTCCTTACCTACATATCCTATATTTAGCATTCTGTGATTGGTCATTAGAAGGTAAGGTAAAGGTATTCCCTGTTGACAAGGTTGTCAAGTCATGTCTGACCGTAGAGGGTGGTGCTCATCTCCGTTACTAAGCCAAAGAGCCAGCATTGTCAGAGACTACTCTGTGATCATGGGGCCAGCATGACTTCACAGAACGCTGTTTACCTTCCCACCAAAGTGGTACCTCTTTATCTACTTGCATTTGCATGCTTTCGAACTGCTAGGTTGGCAGAAGCTGGAACTAGTGATGGGAGTTCACCCCATCATGCAGCAACTGGGCCTTGAACTGCCAACCTGCCAATCTTGCAATCAGCAGAGTCAGCATCTTAACCACTTGAGCCACTGCATCCCCATGCACTTACATTGCAAGTATGATTGCTATGGCATATCTGAGAGGAAATCCTGTTGTGGGAAGGAAATTCACGAGAACCACAATTCCCCTTAATATTTAATTTAATCCTTAGTCTATCAGTAGAGTTGCCAGCTTGGATACTGAACTAGGCTCCAGTAACTTTAATCCTGAACAAATGGTGGAGCAAGAAGAGGTACTGTAAAGCTCCATTGAGTGGATCCTGACTTTTAGCTGCAGTTGTCCTCTCCCATCAAGGCGTCCCCAATGGAGAGTAGTAGGAAGAGGGACACAGAGGAAAGAATAGAACTGTTCAGTATTGGCCTCCCTATGTATCATAGAGAACAGAAACAGGCAGAGTTCAGGCTTGCATGATCCACTTTTGTTTTTTTACTAGAACTATGAGGTCTGTTAACCAAAGTCAAACACCTAATATTGGTTGAGGGAGGTGTGCAAACATTTTAGACTTAAGGGGACAGACTGCTTTAGCGTATGTGTGTTTTCAGAACAAGACCTGAGTTCACAGTGTTTTTACATAAAACCTCACTTCTTATTTTTCCAAGCAACCTAAGGTGCGAGGACTAAAACTTTCCCAGTAATTTACCAATAAATTACAATCTACCTTCTGCCTGCCTCGGTCCAGCACTCCATTTCTACCACTGACCAGGCAGATGGTCAAGCCCACAAGCAGATTTAAAACAGACACCTTTCACAGATACATCTGTATCTGCTTCACTAAGCCAGTGGTCCCCAACCTTTTTATTGCCATGGACCGGTCAATGTTTGAT